GAGACTACGATGTCGATGGACACTTAGTGAGAGAGAGAGAGACAGAGAGAGAGACAGAGAGAGACAGAGAGAGAGAATGAGACAGACAGATACACACACACACAGACACACACACAGACACAGACACACAGACACACACACAGACACACACACACACACACACACACACATACACAGACGGCTACCAGAGACAATGGGGGGGATTAATTCTCAGTAAGAGACACTGAAACTGAAATGCATAAAATGCATGTGTAATAGATATATATAAGAGCAGTTAGAGCTACTGTATTATCGTTGCTGGAGAGGGAGGGGTTTTCCCCCTCCCCAACGATGGGAAATACCAACAGATCTTTTCCACTGAATAGATAGAGTCATGATCAAGAATAGGGTACATAAAGGCTCCAGAACTAACGAAGAAAATCTGTGCGAATACACAACCACATTGAGGCAATTGGTGTATTACATTGTGAGAGTTTGTTGTTTTTTATTCAACCCAGGCCATTTTTGTTTTCTGCCCTACTAGATCTAGATCTAGATAGAGTAATAAATTTTAACGATACACAGCGGAAGTGAAAATAACTTCCGCCAATACGTGTTTGGGAAAATGGCTGACCGATCTAAAAAGGAAAGTACCCCTCCACCTCTCCTGCTTATGCCAGCTGGAGGGGGTTTAACGCTTACACCTCCGGAACAACCAAACTTTCTCATGCCAGTGGTTCAGTCCGGTCCGGCATTGCTTGACCCTGGTAATACTTGCAATGTTTGCCAGCAGATTGATGAATGATCTGACTGAATTTGAATGTTACTGTTACGCTTGTTTGAGTGATAACTGACTTTTTGATTGAATGAGAATGAAAATGAAATCAGAAAAAAAGTGAATGAATGAGTGTTATCACAGTTGAAAATGAGTGATATCATAACTTGTACCCCCATCCAAAGATAAGTGGGGAAACATCAGGTTTTGGGCCCCAACCATAACTACGGAAGTAGGCTTCTCTGGATACATTGTTTGATGCGCGGCGAACAAGAGAAAATATTTTATATGAAAGTTAATTTCAAAACCTCAAGTTATGGTTAAATATAATCGTAGGGGCATGCATATTATATTTTTATTACGAAGTGGCTAGTACGGCTAGACTGAGAGTCTAGCCGTACTTACTTAAGTACGGCTGGACTGCCAGTCTAGCTGTACTTAGATCTAGGTTTGGCCCTATCGACTCATGCCTGTTAAGTACACAGGTCTCATTAGATCTAGAAATCTAGATCTAGTAATTAGTAATTATTCAGGTTCAAATACATGCAAGTCAGTAAGGCACCTTTTGGTTTTGTCTGAAGGCTGAAATACAAATACTTTCTTTAGGCTAAGGGTTTGCAAACTAAAAATTTCATTTACAATTCAGCCATCAATATTAAGTATGGCTAGCCTGACAGTCTAGCGGTCCTTAAGTACGGCTAGC